GGTGGGGAAGAGACAGAAATATTTAATAAATAAATTTAAAAAAAAAAAAGAATTACAGTCGTTTCAGTGTCTCTTTACAATAATAGAAACCCTGACTAAAACAGAAGTTGGTACTAGGGACTTGGGTATTCCTGTGATAGACCAGACCATGTTTTTGGTTTGAAGGTATATGGACTTTGTGGCTGTGAATTAGAAAAGCAGTTGAATGATTTAAGTCTATACAGTCCATATTGTGTTGGGTAGGTATAGATTGTTTAATAGATCAGAAGTGAAGAAAGTGAGTAATGGAAAAACTTATTATGTGTCTGATCATCTTTATCTTCTGCATAAAAGGGTTTCAGTGTTTTTTTTTTTTTCAATTATAGAACAAAGATTTTTTTTTTTTTGAGACTGGGTTTCTCTGTATATCTCTGGCTGTCCTAGAACTCACTCTGTAGACCAGGCTAGAACAAACAGAGATCTACCTCCCTGAGTGCTGTGATTAAAAGCATGAATCACCACCACTTGACTTAGAACAAAGATTTTTAAGAGTTAGAAGGACTTCCCAAGCTTCTGACTGCTTGGGAAACCATATCTCTCACTCATATGAACATCTCTTTGCCTATATCATCAGTAATTTTATGGTAAGCTTTGTAATCCCAGTAATTTTTCACATACAGTTTCCCTTTCTTGACATGCCCTTTATTACTTCATCCAAAATAAATGTTTTTATTCTACAGATTTCTGTACATAAATGACTAACTCTTATTGAGCATGGTGGCACATACCTTTTATTCCAGCACTTTGGAGGCAGTGACAGGCAAATTTCTGTGAATTTCAGGCAAACCCATTTGAGATAGGATTTCCAGGCTACCAAGGACATCATAATGAGATACTGTACCAAAATAAAAAGGCTGTCTCTGGGAACCTCGTTCTAAATGTTCCTTTCACATAGCCAATCCATGTATCAATTCCTGTGTTTATAAATGAGAAAATGTAATTTTATCATATTTATCCCTTCTTACCCTTTAATATCTCCTAGATCAATCATTCCATCCCCCACCCACAAACTTAGACTTTTCTTTTTAAAATAATCCTCTTTGGATGCTCACCTTACTAGACCTGGATGGAGGTGGGTGGTCATTGGACTTCCCACAGGGCAGGGAACCCTGATTGCTCTTCGGGCTGATGAGGGAGGGGGACCTGGTTGGGGGAGGGGGAGGGAAATGGGAGGCAGTGGCGGGGAGGAGGCAGAAATCTTTAATAAATAAATAAAAAATAATCCTCTGACTCTTAATTCGTGTTGCTCATGTGCTAATGGGTATGGAGTAATCCACTAAAGCATGGTCAACCTACCAGGAGTCACATTCTTAAAAGACTGGCTTTCTTCAGAGTATCTGAACGTGTTCAGTATATGCTAGCCTAACTTCATTGTATTAATTGGCTTTTTTGTTGTTGTTATCTTGCTTGAAGATCGATTTGTATTCAATTTGATAGAAATAAACGTTTTTCTGCTTGATGCAATCAGTTCAAAAAAAAAAAAAAAAAAAAAAAAAAAAAGACTGGCTTTCTCGTCCCAGAATCCATCAACTGTTAGATGTAGAATTGGAGCTTGTCCCAGCACTATGGAAAAATATTGAATACTTGATCTTTTCCAGGCAACCACAGCTACTATGAGTTCATGAGTGTAGCAGTTTTAGAAAATTCATAAAGCACTGTTTTGCTCTGTTCTTATAAACACAGACTGTGCTTGTTTTTCCTGGTCACTCAGACCCAAATAATTATACAAAAACTATATTAATTATAACACAGTTTGGCCAATGGTTTATACATATTCCTATCTAGCTCTTACATCTTAAATTAACCCTTTTCTATTATTTTATATTTTACCATGAGGCTGTGTTTTGTTACTTCACATCACTTCTTGGAAAACTACATGGTATCTGCCTAATTTCTCATTCTTTCTCCCTGCATTTACTTTAGTTTTACCACCTGGCTATATTCTGCCCTGCCACATGCTGAAGCAGCTTCTGTATTAACCAGTGGTAACAAAACATATTCACAGAATACAGAGGGGCAACCTGCATCATGTTCCTGCTCTTCCATATATTTATGCAATTTTCCCTCCTCTTCCATGATGACTATTAAAGTAACAGTTATTCTTATATATCATTAGGTCTTAAAGGTGTTCTATAATGGTTTGATCTGCTTCTATAACAGAATGGAGACTCCTCGGTAAAGTAGCAGATGAAGAACTTGAGAAGTGGGCCTAACATTCTCCTCTTTGCCAACTGATAGTCTGCTCTGAGAACCACCTGGTGCCATGGGGAAACGTGATAATCGAGTGGCATATATGAATCCTATAGCAATGGCCAGGTGGAGGGGCACAAGTCAATCTGCAGGCCCAACTATACAAGATTATCTGAATCGACCAAGACCCACCTGGGAAGAAGTAAAGAAACAATTAGAGAATAAAAAGAAAGGCTCCAAGGCATTGGCTGAATTTGAAGAAAAAATGAATCAGAATTGGAAGAAAGAACTTGAAAAAAGCCGAGAGAAAGTATTAGGTGGAAATGTCAGTTCATCCAAAAGAAAAGAAAGAAAGAAAAAGAAAAAGAAAAAATCTTATCGGTATACCTCCTCTTCATCAAGCTCCAATTCATCAAGCAGTTCTTCAGATTCTGAGGATGAGCCAAAGAAACAAGGTAAAAAGAGAAAGAGAAAGAAGAACCATTCCCACAAATCATCAGAAAGCTCCACTTCTGAATCAGAATCTCCAAGCAAGGAACTTCCCCTAAAGAAGAAAAAGACAAAGGATGAAACGGAAAAAGAAAAATATACCAAAAGCTACAGCAAAAAAAGAAAGAAGGCTTGTCCTGAAGAAGAGCCATCCTCTTCAGAATCTTCATTCGAATCAGATTATGAAGAGGAGATGCAGGCAAAAAAGAAAAGAAAACATGATGAGCAAGAAAGAAAAATGGAAAAGATAAAGAAGAAAAAAAAGAAACATCACAAGAAACACAGTAAGAAGAGGAAGAAGAAGAAGTCTAGTTCAAGTCACAAATCAGTGTAACATAAAGGAAAACCAAATAGGCTTTCCGTATTTAAAATGAAACAAAATCTAAAGAAACTTCAACTGTGAAAATCTAGGTCATATTTACCAAAATGCATGAGATTTCCTGTGTTAATAGAGTTTTTCTGGACTTTAAATTGCCAGTAAATTGCCACTGTGCCAGAAAAGGTATTTGTTGCTTGCAGCTTCTATATAGGGTTTTGTTTGTTTAATGTCTTTCTTTATGTCTAATAGTTACTCCTCTGGGAACCAAAACTCAGTTGTCTTACTAGTATTAAAATAAAATGTTTGGAGTTCAATTAATATATTTTCAATAATGAATAATTTTAACCAAAAACATATCTAGTGTTAAACATGTAATTTTTGCATATCTTTAATGTACAGTCAAATATATGTATTTTTTTCAGATGTATGTAATTTTTGCCTATCTTTAAAGTACAGAAACATTCTGACAATTAGAATGGACATTTTGAAGATAAAACAGCATTGTTGTTCAAAATTTAATTTTGTAGATATGTTTGGTTGATGTTTATTTTTTTCCAAGAAGTTTTTGTTTACATTGGGGAAGGGCTCTCATCAGGGAGTGGGAGGGGGTTTGTTTGCTACTCTAGCTAGCTGAAAAGTGTGCCTTTAATCCTTACACATCCTATTTTTGCCAGTGCAGCAGCCATTTATTTCTTACACACTGAAACTATAGAATGTTGTTGTGTACTGTATCAAGACAACAAGAAAACAGTTTACAACATAAAGTCCCCAAAGCTATGACATTTACCTCCTCTTTAGCATTATTCATTTTTTAGTACTAAATGCTATTTCACATTAGAATACTAAATGATTTTAATTAACTGTTATTTTTTTTGAAGGAGGATAATTGCAAACTGTCTTCGGTTTTGTTTCTTTGTTTTTATTAATAAACATTATGATGTTTTACATACTTCATTCTGCCATTATAATTATCCAGTGGTATTCTTTATGACAAGTGGTGATCTTTTTAAATATAATTCATGGTTATGATATAAAGTTCAAACTTTTCATTTCTTAAATTTTGGATATTACTTTTATCTCATTGGTCTGCTTAAATTGCACATGTGCCAGAATATTTAGTATGTAAATAGAAGGTTTTTAAGAAATTGTAATGCCTTCATATTGAAGCCGGTTTGCTATAAGCAAGTTGAGTGCCAGATTTCTAGTATGCTGTGTGTTGTGTTACATAAACAACTGCTAAAATATTTGTATGTATGTTCATTAAATGTTTCTTATCCTAAGCATTAGTACTGAAGTGTAATAGAAGTTAAATTTCTGTAATGATGATATCATTTATCTTTTTGTGCCTATATATTACTAAGGATCTGGTGCCTTGTGACTGTTGCTGAGTCATGTTCACCACTAATGTTAAAAATGTGTTAAAATATATTTACTTTACATTCTATATCACAGTAGTGTAAATTATAAGTTTATGTTTCAACAACACTTATTACAGAAGTTACACTAATAATGTCATGGTACAAGTATTTTGGCATGATGAGAGAGGCTCATTTTTTTTTTTATTTCAAATAGGTGACTGAATCTCAGATTCTTTGAATCAAAAGAAACATTGTAGAAAACATCTAGTAAATAAATAATTTGTCACCTCTGCAGAATGTTGCAGTGGTAATATTGGACTCTCTCAATTTCTTCTTGGAGTATTGTGTGGTAATGCCATGTTAAATCATCTTCGAGTTTCATAAATACAACTGTTTCTTAAAATATATCTATATGTATATTGCTTATAAAATTATTGCATTTAAAGTGTATTTTGTATCCATATATAGTTTTTTTCAAGGGTATTCAGTAAATGTTTTTAAAGTTATATTATTTGTAGAATATGGCAAAAACATTTATAGTTTATCCTATAGCTCTGTGCTCACATTCACTTCCCAGGTCTCTGTAGTTAGGAGATCCCATCTGACTGCTTACAATAGAGAAATTGAGAACAGAAGTGATGTGTTAATTCCATCCTTGAGCAGAAAGAATTCTAACATAATACTTCAGCTGTTTCTTGAACTTCCACCATAACTAAAAGTAAAGGCCAACTTCCAAGAAGGATTCAAGCTGTACCTTTATGTCACACTTTAGAAGGATTTTGTCCTAGAAAACTGATGAACTTGCAATGGACTTTTTGAGAGTAATAAATAAATTATGTGTTCAGTTACTTAGATCTTGAGTCCTTTCTGTTTGTATCACCACCTAACCTAACTTAAATACTAACAAAACACTCTACACCATCTGTTCACCATTTATAAAAGTAATTTAATTACCTTCATTAGATATTTCTACAGATGGATAATCCAAAAGTGATCATATATGGCATACTGAAAATACATGTTCATTTTATTTACATTCATTTTAACTTACTGACTCTGAAATAGGTTGATTTAATTCCTATTTCATTTCTCTAATTATAGCCTAAACAAATTTCCATAAATCAATTTAGAAGGAAAATTATTTTAAGATTCTCATTGCTAATTGATGAAGAAGAATGCCATTTTTAGGTATTCTTTTAAACACTGCCTGGCCCGTTAGTTCCAGCCTCTTATTGGCTAACTCTCACATCTTGATTAACCCATTTCTAATAATCTGTGTAGCACCACGAGGTGGTAGCTTACCAGGAAAGATCTTAACCTGCATCTGTCTTGGAGAGGAGAATCATGGCGACTGCCTGACTCCGCTTCTTTCTCCCAGCATTCTGTTATGTCTACTCCACCTACCTAATTTTCTGTCTTATTAAAGGGCCAAGGCAGTTTGTTTTATTTAACCAATGAAATCAACACAAAATGAAAGACTGTCCCACATCAAACATGTGCTATTCTTTTTAAAAAAATGAAGCAAAATATTGTATGTAGTTATGAAGCGAGCAGGCTTTGTAGTGATGAGGTGAGCAGGCCTGCTTTTCGTCTCACTCAGCTCCCACATGGTTAGCTTTACAGCCAAAATAACAACACACAAATTGTATTTATTTAAACACTACCTGGCCCATTAGTTTCAGCCTCTTTTGGCTAATTCTCACATCTTACATTAAACCCACATTTAGTAATCTGTGTAGGACCATGAGTTGGTGGCTTGCCGGGAAAGAGTCAGCATGTCTGACCTGGCAGCTGGCTCCATGGCATCTGACCAACTGTGCTTTCTTTCTCCCAGAATTCTGTTCTGTCTACGCTGCCCACCTAATTTTCTGCCCTATCAAAATGCCAAGGCAGTTTCTTTATTAACCAATGAGAATAACACATAGACAGATGACCCACCTACAACAATTGTATATCACAGGAAGGCTTCAATACTCACCATATAGCCCAAGAATAACCTTAAAATATTCATCATCTTGCCTTTAGAATGGAAAATGACAGGCATGTTCCACCATAACAAGTTTATAACTGAAGAGGACTGGATAGTTCATTTACTTGACTGTTTTGTTGCACTGTTCTAATTCATTTTCTCTTATTGTGGTGAAAGCCATCAGCAAAAGTAGCATGTGGGAGAAAGGGATTGTTTTGCCTATACATAAACATCACTGACCATCTCCCATCTAGAAAAGTCAAGACTGGAGCTCAATGTAGGAACTGAGTCAAAGACCCTTAAAGAAATGTGCTTACTGACTTGTTCTCATGTCTTGTCCAACCTGTTTTTTTACACAACGCATGACTACCTGCCAGGCATGGCAACACTAACAATGGTCTGGACCCTCCCAAATCAAGTGATGAAAGTAGTTTTATAATTGAGGTTCCTCCTTCCCAGATTATACCAGCTAGGGTTAAATTGACCAAAACAAACTACTAGCACAGACATATACATCAACTTGTTTCATATCCTTAAATTATAGATGTTAAATCCTTGCAGATTCCAGATGCTAAGATCTTGGCTCTCAGATAATGAGATTTCAGTCCTCGTTCTCTGTTTTCTTGTTATATGACCTCTAGCAAGTTGGTTCACTTGTATGTAACTCAATTTTCTCATTAACAAAATCAGAAAAATAAAAGTCGCTATGTCAAAGACTCTTAGAAGAATAACATTTAAAGCATTTAATTCAGTCCCCAGCCCACAGCAAACATTTGATGTTATTTTCTCCTCCTTTTGTTATTATCATAATTCTCTTCTCTTTATTTTTAAGACAAGGTCTCACTTGGTAGCCCTTGCCAGCCTAGAACACATTATGTTTAACAAACTGTCCTTGAACTCACAGAGATTGTCCTGGCTCTGCCTCCCAAGTACTGGGATTAAAGTTATGTCTACCATGCACAGCATATCATTGTTGTATTCTATTTTCTTTATCATTATTATTGCACTGTCATTTCCCATTGAGTGTATTTTTGCCCTCTTAAAGCTACATATTTTTTTTCCTTTCTTTTCTTTCTTTTTTTCTCTCTCTTATAATGATGATGGTTATTGTTAGGGATTTCCTCATACTAATAAAAGTAGTTGATCAGGTCATAGAAGAAAGAAGGCTCTAAATAAATGCAAATGCAGAAAGAGACAGACAGACAAACATGCAGAAGCACACACACACACACACAGAGAGAGAGAGAGAGAGAGAGAGAGAGAGAGAGAGAGAGAGAGAAGAAAAGACTAAATCCATGCAATTAAATTAAATTTTGTTTCCCTTACATGACATGTATCTACCCCCAATGTTTCTACTTGGAAAACTGATGTGCCTTCTGTCTGTGTGGTTTTCCCTAGTCTAAATATTTCATATAAGTAAAATGATAACATAAGTGGCTTCTTGGTCTAGCTTTGTTTAATTAGCATGTTTCTACTGATTTGAAAGTATTTATTTGTGTTTGAAAATTTCAAGTATGTATACAATCTATTTTCATCATATATACTTAATGCCTCCATACAACTCCTCATGGACCCCCTCCTACAACATGGCCCCTGTTGACTCCATTTCTTCAATTTTAAAAATTTCCCACTAAGTCCAGTAAAAACACATTGGTATGGTTCCATCCTTTGGAGCATGGGCAACTTAATAGTGGCCACACACCCAAAGAAAACTGACTCTCCCTCCTTCAGCAGCTTTAAACTGCCAGCAGCTTCCCAGCTAGGAGTAAGACCTGGTAACCATCTCCTCTATCCAATTAGCATAATATTTTAAGGTTCATTTTTAAAAGGTGATAGGTAACTTTGAGGAAGAAGTTTTATGAGATACCATAAACATCCAAAAGTTCTACTTATCAATTTTAATAGGTAATATTTTAGAACAGTTTTATACTTACACTAAATTAAGCAGAACATAAAGATATCTTGTAAATAACTCTAGCCTAAATATGTGCATCTTTGCACACTATAAGTATCCTGTATGATAATGACACATATTATTGAATTTATGATCCTACATTGATGTATTATTATTTAAATACCATAGATTATATTTGGTTAATTACTGTTATTTTACATTCTGTAGGTTTTGAACACACGAACAATCATTTGTATCTACTACAATTTCATTATATAGTACATTTTCCTTGTCTTAAATTCCTTGTTCCATCTCTTCATCTCTCCTTAAATACTGAAAAACTCTGATTTCCTTTACTATCTTCATAGGCTTTCTTTTTTCAGAACATCCTTTATTTATTATGGCATAATTTACTGCTGCTATAACATCATTGTGCAAAGTTTTGTATGACGAAAAGATGTCAGCTACTAAGAAATTAATATAGTATTAAGACTGTGCTATTATGACCAAGATATCTAATATAAACAACATAAGGAAGGCAGATTTATTTTGTTTCCCATTCATTCCAAGAACATTTGGCCTTAAGTACTTAAACAAAACCACAGGCAGAGGAGCTCCTGCACTTTATTTCAGACAAAAATCTGAGAGGAGACTGAAGAAAAGGAAGGTATTCTTAAGAACCCACCTCAAGTTTCTTTTTATGTTAGTGTCAAACCAACTCCTAGAGTTTCAAGAATAACCTTAAGAACACCATCTAGAGACTAAAAACACAGGCTTTTGTGGTAGACTTTATATACCAATCATACCAAATACCAAGCAGTGTGACTGCTGGATTATCTGCTTTAATTTTTATAATTCTCAACAGATTTATTTAGGCCAGAAATGTGCAACTTCTTTTTATAATTAAATGTTACTGTGCAAATTTATTTAAAACTATTCTATTTGATAATCAGTAATACTGTTGTCTAGTTCTCATTCATTCACCAGGAACAATTTTCATGTCAAGAGAAAAGTAGAATAAGACCTATATGCCACAGCCAATGAAAATATAGGCTTATCATCCCATTGAGGTTTGCTAGAGGTTGAAAATACCTCTTTATGCCCTACAAATATCTGATCATTTCAGTACCTTTAGTTTATAAAGTACATTTGTACTTTTACTTGGAGCTGGTGCAAAGTTCATCCTTTCGTGTCATCAAATTAAAATTGGAAGCTTTACAGGTTAGCAAGAGATGTGAAAGAACAGCCTACCAAATTTACAATATGTATCCTTACAAATCCTGAGAAATAGACCAAGTATTGTAATATTTTTCATCATTGGTAGTGAAAACTTCAGTACCTTGGCTCTCATTTTGTAGAGAAGGTATTGAAGGTCAATGAATACAGAGATTCATTAATATTGCAAATTATAAATTTCTATATTATGTCTTTTTCTCAATATAACTCATAGGTTGTACTAAAATATCTATGGCAATGCTCCTCACTTTATGATCCATGGGCTTTTGTCAGTTCCTGAAATGTTTAACATTGGTCTAACACAAGGTAATTTTAGAAATTGGCATATGTAAAAACTCATCTAAAAATTTGACTGACTTGAATTTTGTATTTATTTTATAAAAGAATTCATTAATGAATCATAAAACTCCAAATATATTAAATTGGAAATCTGTAAAAATGATAAAATGATAGCGTTACTGAAATCTGATAAGAATTTATGTAGAATGGTTGAAGCTTTCTACTCCAGTTTACATGAAGGCATATTTGACCAGTATGCTTAAATAAACAGACCAACTCAAAACAACAGATATAATTTAATAATTGAAAACCGGGAAACTCACACTACGGGAGAAGGTCAGAAGTCCAAACCAGCGGGGCAATTATTGCACACAGAGAACGTGCACTGGGATCTCCAGGTTTTTCTACCCGGCCCCAGATGGCCACACCCTAGCCAGATGTGAGTGGTTGAGCTTCCCCATCATCTCC